AAACCAGTGTCAACATCATTCTCAACAGAGAGAGGCTGGAAGTATTCCCTTGAGAATGGAAACAAAACATGGATGCCCTTTATCACCACTCCTACTTAACATTGTGCTGGAAGACCTTGCTAGAGCAATAAGGCAAGAAAAAGAAATAATGGGCATCCAAATTGGAAAGGAAGAAGTAAAACTATCCCTATTTGCAGATGATATGATACTATGCATAGAGAACCCTAAAGATTCCATAAGAAAACTACTGGAACTAATAGAAAGACTCAGCAGAGTAGCAGGATACAAAATAAACACAAAAAAATCAGCTGGATTCCTATACACCAACAAAGAAAACCTCGGAAAGGAAATCAGGAAAGCAATACCATTTACAATAGCCCCTAAGAAGATAAAATACTTAGGAATAAATCTAACCAGGGACATAAAAGATCTATACAAAGAAAACTACAAAACACTACTGCAAGAAACTAAAAGAGACCTACATAAATGGAAAAACATACCATGCTCATGGACAGGAAGACTCAACATTGTGAAAATGGCTATTCTGCCCAAAGCGACCTACAGATATAATGCAATCCCAATCCAAACGGCAACAGCATTCTTTAACAAGATGGAAAAACTAACACCAACTTTATATGGAAAGGAAAGAGGCCCCGATGAGCAAAGCATTACTGAAGAAAAAGAACAAAGCAGGAGGCCTCATACTACCTGATCTCAAAACCTACTATACAGCCATGGTATGAAAACAGCCTGATACTGGTATAACAGACACATAGACCAATGGAACAGAACAGAGAACCCAGACGTAAATCCATCCACCTACGGACAGCTGATCTTTGACAAAGGACCAAAGTCCATTCAATGGGGAAAAGGCAGTCTTTTTAACAAATGGTACTGGCAAAAACAGATGTCCATTAGTAAAAAAATGAAATAGGACCCATACTTCACACCATACACAAAATCTAACTCAAAATGCATCAAAGACCTAAATGTAAAACCTAAAACAATAAAGATCATGGAAGGAAAAATAAGGTCAAAACTAGAGGCCCTAATACATGGCATAAATAGTATACAAACTTTAACTAACAATATACAAACACCAGAAGATAAACTAGTTAACTGGGAGTTCCTAAAAATTAAACACTTAAGCTCATCAAAAGATTTCACCAAAAGAGTGAAAAGAAAATCTACAGACTGGGAAAAAAATTTGCCTCCGACATATCCGACAAAGGTCTAATCTCTAAAATCTATAAAATACTTCAACACCTCAACAACAAAAAGACAAATAATCCAATTAAAAAATGAGCAAAGGATATGAACAGACACTTCACCAAAGAAGACAGGTGGCTAACAAACACATGAGGAAATGTTCTCAATCACTAGTCATTAGAGAAATGAAAATCAAAACTACAATGAGATACCATCTCACTCAACATTACTAGCACTAATTGTCAAGGTCTGAATTATGTCCCCCAAAAAATGTGTTGGCTGGGCCATGATTCCTGGTACTGTGTGATTTTCCTGTATGTTGTAAACCTGCCTCTATGATGTTAATGAGGGAGGATGGGTGGCAGTTGTGTTAGTAAGGCAGGACTGGGTCTACAAGACTGGATTGTGTCCTGAGGCAATCTCTTGAGATATTAAAGACAGAAGTGAGCAGTGAGACAGGGGGACCTCATACCATCAAGAAAGCAGTGCCAGGAGCAGAGCGCATCCTTTGGACTGGGGTCCCTGCGCAGAGAAGCTCTTAGTCTGGGGGAACACTGAAGAGAAGAAGGCCGACAGAGAGAAAAAGCCTTCCCCTGGAGCTGACACCCTGAATTTAGACTTTTAGCCTACTTTGACTGTGAGGAAATAAACTTCTCTTCGTTAAAACCATCCACTTGTGGTATTTCTGTTATGGCAGCACTAGATAACTAAGACACTAATCAAAAGAGCAGAAAATAACAAATGTTGGAGAGGTTGTGAGTAGACTGGAACTCTTATGCACTGCTGGTGGGAATGTAAAATGGTACAACCACTATGAAAAACGATATGGTGCTTCCTTAAAAAGCTAGAAATAGAAATACCATATGTTCCAGCAATCCCACTCCTAGGAATATATCCTAGAGAAGTAAGAGCCGTCACACAAATAGACATACGCACACCCATGTTCGTTGCAGCATTATTCACAATAGCAAAAAGATAGAAACAACCTAAGCGCCCATCAACAGATGAATGAATAAACAAATTATGGTACATACACACAATGGAATACTATGAAACGATAAAGAACAATGATGAATCCCTGAAACATCTCACAACATGCATGAATCTGGAGGGCGTTATGCTGAGTGAAATAAGTCAATCACAAAAGGACAATTATTATGATTCCATTATTACAAAAACTCAAGAAAAACTTTATACACAGAAAAAAATAATCTTTGATGGTTACCAGGGAGGGGAGGGGCAGGGAAGGGAAATCACTAACTAGATAGCAGACACGTGTTAATTTTGGTGAAGGGAAATATAACACAACACAGAGGAAATGAGCACAACTTGACCAAGGCAAAGTCATAGAAGCTTCCTAGACACATCCAAACACCTTGAGGGACCAAGTTACTGGGGCTGAGGGCTGTGGACCATGGTCTTGGGGGATAGCTAGGGCAATTGGCATAACATAGTTCATAAAGAAAATGTTCTACATCCTACTTTGCTGAGTAGCATCTGGGGATTTAAAAAGTTTGCACACGGCCATCTAAGATACCTCTATTGGTCCCATCTCATCCAGAGCAAAGGAGAATGAAGAAAACCAAAGACACAAGGTAAATATTAGTCCGAAGAACTAATGGACCACATGAACCACAGCCTCCACCAGCCTGAACCCAGAAGAACGCGATGATGCCCGGCTACCACCACCAACTGTTTTAACAGAGATCACAACAGAGAGTCTTGGACAGAGCCGGAGAAAAATGTAGAACAAAATTCAAATTCACAAAAGAAGACCAGACTTACTGGTCTGACAGACACCAGAGGAACCCCGGAGACTATGACCCCCAGACACCCTGCTAACTCGGAAATGAAGCCACTCCCAAAGTCTGCCTTTCAGCCAAAGATTAGATAGGGCTATAAAACAAACATTAGCATACGTGAGGAACGGGCTCCTTAGTTCAGTCAAGTATATGAGACCAAATGGGCAACACTTGCCAAAAAACAAAGATGAGAAGGCAGGAAGGGACAGGAAAACTGGATGCATGGACACGGGGTGGAAAGGGGCAGAGTGCTGACACATTGCAGGGATTGCAACCAATGTCACAAAACAATTTATGTATAAATTTTTGAATGAGTATTAAAAAAAGAAAAGAAATCCATCGCCTACTGAAGATGACAATTTTAAAATTTTGGAAGATTTGAAAAATACTGGAAGCATAGATATCCATGATTTAACTAATGTTAACAAAATTGAATACTTTCCCTTCATGTTATTGTTTTTATATTATGTTTTGTATTCAATGCCTTAAAAATACACAGAAAATTACAAAAGAAAAAAGAAGAACCTATCTAGCCAGAATATACTGGAAACCAGGCCTGGAGGACATGCAGGGCCCCATGTTCTGGAATGCATGCACCCTTACGCAAGGACTTAGCCTGCCACTCCTTGGGGTTCAGCCTGGGCTCACCAACCAGCCAGCTCCACATGGCTGCCAGCTTAGGCAGGCCAGGCAGCTCCCTGCCCGTTTCCAAAGCAGGCTGGCAGGCCATGGGCAACAAGTAATGGCCAGGGAGGCTCCAGGGGTATTAGCCAAGAGAGCCGGCACCTGTGTCCCTTATCCCAAGAGAGTCAGCACTCACGCTAAGATCACTGAGACCCAGAAAGGCTGAGAAGGCAAGGTGCCTCAGGAGATTAGGAAGGGGGAAGGGGCAGCGGAGAAAGGGGGCCACAGCTGCAAGAGAGGGGCAGCTTCCATGGACCAGGAAATGACCACTAAAACAACATTCCTCACTACTCACCAAAACTGGCTGTATAACTCTTGGAAAGAAAAAGCTTCCACCGTATTCCAGAGAGCCAGCAATTGTAGGCATTATCTTCAAAGTCAAATTGAGGCTGAGGCTGGACGCAGGGAACTTGACACTGGCTTTGAGGCTGTCTCCAGGAAGTCATGGTGCCTAGACTAAAGTGTTCACTCCACAGAACCCTTCACCTTAAAGATGGAGAAACCAAGGCCCAGAACAGAGACATCCCACAGGAGACTAAGGGTAGAACCAGAACTAGATCCAAATGTCAGCAGAGTTTCTAGAATCACCACTCCACAGAAAATCTCCCAATAGGGCTTTGGTAAGCAAGTGGATTTCATATGCAAACAGCTACATTTACAGTGGCCCCACAAAGGCTTTCTTCAAAGGGCTCTGGTGAACATTTTAAAAGGTCCCTTCAGGGAAATCTGGCATAACTCTCTTAGGGACAAAATAACTCCAGTAGTTATTCTGCGTGGAGTAATGGTGGTTCAGCAGTAGAATTCTCGCCTTCCATGCAGGAGACCTGAGTTCGATTCCCAGTCAGTGGACCTCATGAGAAGTCACACCCATCTGTCGGTGGAAGCTTGAGCGCTGCTATGATGCTGAACAGGTTTCAGCAGAGCTTCCAGACTAAGACAGACTAGGAAAAATGGCCTAGCAATCAACTTCTGAAAAGTTAGCAAATAAAAACACTATGCGCTCAACATTTAGTGTAGAAAAAATGGGAACCTAATTTGCTGTGTAAATTTACACCAAAAACACAATAAAATATTATTCAAAAAAAAAAAAAAAACCTACCATAAATCACACCGGTCCGATCCTGTTATGCATGGTGTTGCCATGAGTCAGGGCCGACTCAATAGCAGCTAACAACAATTATTTTGCAGTCAATTGAGAGCAGAATAATGTAAGCCTCAAACTCTTTAACCATAATTAAACAAAAAATACCTGAAATAACTTTGACCAGTGGACAAATTTCAGGCTTAGAGAAAAAAATTCCAAACCTGCATCTGCTCCAAGAGCCCAGTCAAGGTCTGCAGCCAGGTCATGGTCTGGATGTACTGCTCCGTGTTCATGATTTTAAGCTCAGATCTTAATTCCGGGATAATTGCGCCAGTTCGCCAGCCATGCTTTAGAGTCAAATCCTGATCCCAAAGTCACAAAGAGTCAACGTTAATATTAGCGGAATTCCAACTGCTTCATTACTTTTCCCAGATGCAATTCATTAATTACTTGTTAACAGTAATGGTTAGTTATTAACCAAGCGGAATTAAACGAATTACATTGAATTAAAACCAATTCAGCCCCAGGCTTTGACCATTTCACCCCATGTAAGTTTGAGTTGTAGAAATAATGGCTGTGAATCACAGCCCCCTGCAGAAACACAGGGTCTGGAATTATTAACCAAGGTCTGAAAAAAACAATGAGGTCAGGGGCAGAATGAGGCTCAACCTAAACTCCAGGGGAGGACTTCATTCAGTTCATCCACAGACCTCTATGGAGCATCTATCACGTGCCAGGCCCTGTGGGTTAGGGGAACCATGGAATCTCAGGCTTGGAACGGATCACAAACATGCATGGTCACTTCCCTCCCCCTCCTTTTTTTAATTGTGTTTTAGGTGAAAGTTTACAGCATAAAATAGTTTCTCATTCAAAAATTTATACGTAAATTGTTTTGTGACATTGGTTGCAATCCCTCATGGTCACCTTTGTCATTTCAAATATTATAATCCCATAATTCAACAACAGGCTAGTACAGTGCAGTGAATTACTTAATACGGTCCTTCTAGCCGCACATGGTCTTGTAACTCCCACCAAATGATTGGATGGAACTATGCAAATAAGGTGCATAGCACCCCTGTATGGGGGGAGCGTAGGACTATGCAAATAAGGTGTATGGAACCCTAATGAGGGGATTGGTCAGTTTTGCCATTCCACTAGGCTTAAAAGAGAGCCAATCCCAGAGCAGAGGGGGACCTCACTAACATCAAGAAAGAAGAGACAGCAGAGGAGCACACCCTTTGGACCCAGGGACCCTATACTGAGAACCTCCTAGACCCAGGAAACAGAGAGCTGTAACACTGGAGACGGCACGAGATGGTGAGAAGCAATGGAAGAGAAACAGTGGCAGCAAAACCAGGAGATAGCACAGTGGACTTCCCAGCCCACAGAGCAAGGTGGCCACGGTGGGTGTGCAGACCCACAGAGTGAGGGAACTAAGCACCTTTGGGTCAAGGCTTACTGGTGGAGTGGGGTGTCCTGAGGCACTTACTGGCAGAGCTAAAGAGCTGTGTACCACTTGCCCAGCAGGGCAGGGGCTGAGAGGCCAAGGGGTCGAGGGGCTGAGAGGCCAAGGGGCCGAGAGGCTGAGGGCCAGAGAAAGGCTTGACTACAGGCACAGCTGAGAAGAAGCTGTCCTTATCGAAGAACTGTATCCTGAGTCATTCCTGATTCTGAATTGTAACCTGTTACTTCCCTAATAAACCCCATAATCATGAGTATTGTCCGTAAGTTCTGTGTGGTCATTTTGACGAATTATCAAACCCAGCAGAGAAGCAGAGAGTGTGCCGTGAGGGACAGCTGGTGTCAGAATTGGTAAAAAGGTTGGAGAGACGAGGTATGCCTGACTTCCACCTCACAGGAGTCAGTCAGCTTTGCGCTGTTGATGCCGATAATGATTCTCCTCCCACCTTGTGAAGTTAGACCAGGAAGTCCAACACACTGCACCATTTTTACAGCCAGAATGTCTGATCTCAGATAAGTCCTGGAACATCTAAGCTATACAGTCACCATTCTAAATGGTCATTTATTTTCTCATCTAACAAATATTTATCAAGTACTACCATTTAGAAGGCTCTGTTCTAGACACTAGATAATGCAATGACTAAAAGGTGGCAAAACCCCTGCCTTCATGGAAATATGGGCAATGAACAAGCAAGAAAATGCACACCAGCAGGTAATAATAAGTTGAGTGGACAAATATCAAGCAGAGTAATAGCCGGCAGAGAGGTTACCAGTTAATATTGGGTGGTTAGGAAGACCAAGCTAATAAAAGGACATTTGAATAGAGACCTGAAGGCAGGGAGGGAGAAAATATGTGGGAGGAGAGGTCAGCAAGTGCAAAGGCCCTTGGGCAGGAATATTTGGGAAGGGAGAGTCAAGGACCACGAAGGTAAGGGGCCTACAGCAGAACAGGAGAGGGGACAGGGGCAGTAGGTGCTTTCAGAGGTGGGCTGGGGGGAGATGAGATCATACAGGGTCTTGTAGGCAACTACAAGAACTCTGGCGTTTACTCGAGTGGGAAAGGAAGCCTTTGGGACTTTTAAAGGAGAAGAAGCATTTAGTTTAGCTTTAATGGTTCACTCTGGCTACTCACCCAAAACTAGAATTCACACCCTGTAAACCCTGAGGATACCTTCCTCTTCACTGGTTCAATTTCTTTAAACCTTTCAATATGTCCATTTCTTTCTTCTATAATACATGAAAACATATAGCACATTCTTTTAAATATTCCCAATGGTGACAAACTTTTGAAGGTGGATTTGATTTCTGAAAACAGGCAAAATTCATTTGACACATGCCCAAGACTAAAGTACATGATAATAAATTAATAATAATAAAACCAATTTTCTCCTGGGCTTCAAATTGGCTCTCAAATCTGTCACAATGAGGGCATCTGCCTGTGTTTGGAGAATCAGCACCAATAATGGAAAAAGTATCCAGATTCCCAAGGTGACTCCCATGAAGGATAATGTTTACTGCCCATATAATTTCTGCTACGTTGGTTAAAGAATTGGTCTCGCAGAACAGAAGAACTGGATGGTGCCTGGCTACCATTACTAAACATTTTGATCAAAGATTCTACAGAAGAATCCTGATCAAAACAGGGAAAACGCAGAACAAAATTTCAAATTCTCATGGACTCTAGACTTTCTGGAGCCATGGATGCTGGATGAACCCCTAAAACTACTGCCTGAGATAATTTTTAAACCTTACCGAAAATATCCCCTGAAGTCATCTTAAAACAAGTAATAGTTTATATAAAGTTCATAGAAGAAAAAATAGGGTCAATGCTAGAGGCCCTAATACATGGCATTAACAGGATACAAACCATAACCATCAACACACAAACTTCTAGAAGATAAGCTAGATAACTGGAATCTTCTAAAAATCAAACACCTATGCTCTTTAAAAGACTTCACCAAAAGAATAAAAAGAGAACCTACAGACTGGGAAAAACTTTTTGGGCATTACAAGTCAGACAAAGGTCTAATCTCTATAATCTACAAGAAAATCCAACACCTCTACAACAAAAAGACAAATAATCCTATTAAAAAATGGGCAAAGGAAATGAACAGACACTTCACCAAAGAAGACATTCAAGCGGCCAACAGACACATGAGGAAATGCTCGCGATCACTAGCCATTAGAGAAATGCAAATTAAAACCACAATGAGGGCCTCCAGACAACATGGCGCTATAGTCAGAAGCACCACGCGGACCCTCCGCAGCAAAGATCAGAGAAACTAAGTCAAACACAGTCACAGGTCAATCCTGAAACCCTAAGCATCAAATGAAGAGACAAAGAACTCAGCCAAGCACCCAATGGAATAAGAAACTGCCCAAGAACAGAGCACGAGGAGAGATGCATGCAGAGGTCCCCTATCAGGTAGCGCAGCACGGATTCGCCATCTTGGACTCCTATCGGAGATCAGCGAACAGGAGGTACAAGAAAGCAACTTCAGGGGGGTTCCAGCAGGAGACAGAACAACCAGTAACCCATGATATAGGCTTTCCTACCCCCTACCCTTCTTCACCCCCATTTAGCCTCCTCTGTTTCATGCAGCTATGGTCTACTGGCTGGGAAGCATGAGCTTCCCCCAGTGCTGCTTGGATTCCACCCGCCCGCACTGGCCAGCTCCCTGAGTGCCATTTGTTGGCCACTGGTGTTGCTTTTTTCCACTTCTTTAGATTTCTTCTTTACCTCTCACCACCTCCCGCTCCTATCTCTCAAATACCTGGCTCCGTGCGCCATCTTTGCTTCTTCCTGACAGGCTGTGAAACACCGCTTGACTGCGAAACTGCTTTCCAACCTGTGCCGCCACGCTGGTGGGACCCCCAGGGCTTTTTTGTTTGTTTGTTTGCTCTAATTTGTTCTATTTTGATTTGTTTGTTTTCTTTTTCTTTTCTCGGCCTGGGAGCTCCTTCTACCGGGCAGTACCAGGTGGCTTGGAAGCTAGTTCGTTACTTTGCGCACAGGGACATCCCTAGGGGCATTGATTTTTTCTTGTTTTTTTTGTTTTTGGTTTTGTTTTGTTTTTTTTTTTCCATTTCTTTGTTTAGTTTTCTTCTCTCTCTTATTCCCTTTTCGTCTTTCTTCATTTAATCATTTTTTTCTTTTACCCTTTTTTTTATTTTTGTTTTTCCCCATTTCTCAGTCTCTCATCTCTCCACTCCAATAGCAAGTTCCCTTATCACTCTGTTTTGTTTGTGTGTATGTCTTTGGCTCCTGTTCCTCTCTCCTCTCTCTCATCTTTCCCATAACCATCTTAGCTCCACACATCACAATCTACCCCCTCCTTCCTGCCTACCTGCACCATATGCTGAACATGAAACTTCCAAGCAACACAGTCATGGCCTACTAGAACCTACCCTGCACTGATTCCTGGTCTGCACTGTCAGCCCTGGTACGTGCCACAAAAAACCTATCACAGTAAATCCCCTTCAGCTGGACCTGCCCTGCTGTACCATACCTGAGTGACTGACCCTGCCTATTGAAGAAGGAGGTGAAAAGCATCGTGCCCACAGACAAGCAAACAACAAAGAACGCACAGCCCGCCTGCTCAGACATAACCAAATAAAACAAAAAAGTAGGATGAAACAAACAAGTCTACAATCAATAAACAAGGAAAATAACCACTCAATGCCCCAAAGACAGCAGACAATATCAAAACATTTACAAAAACAAGACAGGATGGTTCCAGTAGGCGTCCGAAATAAAACACCAGTTGACCTTCCAGTAGAAGAAAAGGCACTAGACCTAACTGATAGGGAATTCAAATCTCTAATATTCAGAATTATCCAAGAGTTGAAGCAAAAAAACAGACAAAAATGAGGAAAAAAATAGACAAATTCATGGAAAAGGCAGACAAAAAAATGGAAGAATTCAAGAAAATAATACAGGAACAAAATGCTAAAATAAATTCACAACTAGAAGTCATACAAAAACAACAATTAGAAATCCAAAAGAGAAACAACAAGATTTCAGAAATGGACAGTGTCATAGAAGGGCTGAGGAGCAAGTTTGAAATGATGGAAGATAGGATCAGCGAAATTGAAGACAAACACTTGGATATAACTCTGAGGAAAAATCAGAAAAAAGAACTAAGAAAAATGAAGAAACCCTGAGAATTATGTGGGATACAATCAAAAGCAAAAATCTGTGAGTGATCGGAGTTCCAGAACAGGGGGAGAAAACAGAAAACACAGAGAGGATCACTGAAGAATTGCTTAAAGAAAACTTCCCCA